CCTGGCAGTTAAGAGGTTTTATTCCCTCCCTAACTTCAGGGGAAAATCCCTACCTGGGGAAACAACCTTTCTCAGAGAGGTGACCTTGGTTAAAACACATAGTGCCAAGAAGGTGACCAAACATATTAAGAACAGTATGCCATATATGCCAGGTCCCTTGAAACAGCAAGGATGGACCAGCTTCCGGCACAGGAGGCAGCTGATCGATGCTTCTCTCTCAGCAATATTTCTAACTCTCTATCCTTCTCCCTTCCTCTCTATAAAAATTTTTTTTAAAAAGCCTGGCATATGTGTTTAATGTTTGAATAATCTATCTAACTGGGCTAAATGGACTAAATGTTTATGTGCAATTGTCAGAAATACTGTAAACAATTGGTGATGACTCAGCCTTTAAGTGGTAGGTTGGTTTGTTAGTTAATTAGAAAACTAGCTACTTATATGTTTGCTATTACCTAGAGATGATATCATAGCTTAGAGATTATTTGGAGGCATCAGGTAGCTTTTTAATTTGTCTATCTTTGAGCTACTTCTTAGCGCTGATCAACATTTTAGCATTGTAGACAAAGATGTAGGATTGTTTCTAATATTGTCCTATTGTGTGAAGGAACAACATTTATCATTTATACATAAGGCTGTGATTTGGGGTATTAGGAACAGCTCTATAGATATTGTTTAAAGTTGTAAAAATGATGAGAGTAGAACCAACATCATCAATGTTTCCTAATTTACAATATTCAGAGTTGGTTGTCTCAGCCCCTACATTGAATACTTTAAAATCTATTGGATTCTTAAAAATGAATTTTTCCATTCTTTTCAGAAAAATAATCACCCTATAAATTCAATTATAAGATGTGAGTTCTTTTCAAATATTTAATTTTTGAAATAAAAATGTTTTCAAAATTGGGGATATAGTGTAACTAATTTGGTAGCTTTTTTCTATCCTGGTAGTATCAAAAATAATGCCACATCTTAAAATCAATGGAGTCTTAGATTCAATGAATACTTTAGTAAGGGGTTCATGAAGACATTGGAATTAATAAGCTTTTAACAAAGATAATTAAAGTGATTTTTAGGGGATTTAGATTAATTGGAATACAGAAGATTTACAGGAATAATTAAAGTATGAAGATTTCATATGGCTTACCAGGAAGTACTTAATATCATTGTAACCTTCTCGCCCATGTTCTTTTTTTCCCTAGATGCTCCCAAAGTTACAATGCCTAAGAAGACCCCAGGATACTACCTGCAGCCTGGCCGAATTCCCTGCTCTGTTGAAAGTCTTTTGCCCTTTACCTTGAGCTTTGTCAGAAATGGACTCAAACTCGGAGTAGACCAGTATTTAAAGTGGGTACATGTTTCTATTAATAATTGATAGCATTAAACATCTAAATAGAAATAATACTTATTTGTAGAAGATACTTATTTTAATGTGTTTTTTAATTGGAAATTCTCATGTATTTGCTCTATGGTCTTGGAATATAGCAGTGATCAAGACAGACACAGCTCTGTGCCCTTGTGGAGCTTGTATGTGATGGAGGAAGACCGAAAAGAGATGCTAAATATAATATGTTAATATATAAATGCTAGAATACATTCAAGAGTTGACTTAGGCTCTAGAGAACCTGAGTTTTATACAATTTGAAGGTCCCTTGTTAAATCAAACAATTAAAAGTTATGAATACAAAGTTAGGTACCGAACCTTGGAGGGGTCTTTGCTAATGAGAGGCCCTGTTATTGGCTTACGAGTAAGCAGGTCTCTGAATCTGATGGAAAGTTTTAGGATCAGTGAATGTGATCAGTGTTAAGGCACAATGTAGAGCAGGTTAATTGGGATGAGTAAGGTGAATAGTTCAGGTGCTTGTGGTTTTGGCCAACCTAATCCTCACCCAAGGATATTTTTCTATTGAATTTTAGAGAGAGTGGAAGGGAGAGGGAGAAAGAGACAGAGAGAGAGAGAGAGAGAGAGAGAGAGAGAGAGAGAGAGAGAGAGAGAGAGAGAGAATCTATGTGAGAAAGACCTATCGATTGGTTGCCTCCTGCGGGTGCCCCTGACTAGGGCCAGAGATCGAGCCTGCAACTGAGGTACTTGCCCTTGACCAGAATCAACTTAGGACCTTTCAGTCCACAGGCCGACGCTCTATCCACTGAGCCAAACTGGCTAGGGCTACCAAGTTATGATTTAAAAATTCAGGATAAGGGGCATTTGTGCAAAGAACATAGGTGCAGAGGTGTACACAGATATCCGGGAAGAGTGTGCGCACACCAGGACCAGCAAGTGCGCATGCCCGAAGGCTGGAGTGAGCAGGGCATGTGTGGAAGAAAGGCAGGAAGGAAGCCAGTGTGGCCGGAGCCCCGTGAGCCTGGGGGGGAAAGGCAGAAGATGAGGTCAAGGAAAAGTGGTGTGTGCTGGGGGTGGGGTGACAGGTGGAGCACTAACCTGTGAGGCCACTGCATACAGGGGTAGGCAAACGTATTTTCACAGTTAAGAGTACATGAAACAGTTTATTTTTGTATTATTATTTAATAATTATGGCATTATTTTCCACAAGAACCACTGGAAACCTACTTTTGCCCCACCCCGTAAAACAGGGGGAGTGGGCCAGAGGGCACCAACTGCCCTTGTGAAAATGGGTCACCTTTTTAGACAAATATCAGTAATCTAATAAAAATGAAGTAGGCCTTGAAAACTGGAGGGTGATTTCTGGAAAATGGTTTTTGTTTGTTGTTTTTTGTTGTTTTGGTTTATTTTTTTAAACTTAGAATGAAACCAACTACATTTTGGAAAAAAAAACCTCTAGGAATTATTTTATAAAACTCTCCTACTGTTAGTTCAATATTAATGTAAGTAACTTCCATAAGATGTTAAATACTTGAAATTCTTCGTTTATGCAGTCCCTTTATGAGGGGGTCGTTTTAAGTCAAAACTATGGCAGAAATGTTCCTTATAAATTTAGAAACTTTTCCATTACTTAAAGACTGAACTGCAGTATTTCCTGCCACTTTTTTCTCACATAGTATATCTTGATGATTTACTTAGCTGCATATTTAATAACCATAAATCAAACACAACTGACCAGGATAGCCAATGATGAAGCTACATAACTGACTGATGAAATCAAACCACTCTGCTTCATGTTGAAAGCGTAACATTTTTCAAAGACACGTGGTTCTTTATAAAACTAATTTCC